TTAAAGACATTCAAGTACTTGGAAACCGAAGTAGGAATTAGTTTAATTCTCTGGCAGGTCCCAGCCTACATGGTGCTCCATTCCCAATGCCTTGGCTGTAGCATGGATGCCCTCACACCTCCATGCTAGATAGAGACAAATTTTCTAAAGGGCCATGGACAGGGAGTTTTCCCTCTTCAGCTGTAACTACTGCTGAAGGAGTCAGTTTATTTGAACTACAAACACTAGGTAAGCAGTGAAGATTTCACTAGTGAACAAAACTTTATGATCCAGATGTGCAGGACTGGCAGTGTCTTGGCGCCACATACCTCCCCCCTCTGTAAAGGGCACCAGAACAGCTGCTCCAGGTCTCTAATGACCTTAGGGAGACTGCAGGGCAGCCCAGCTTCAATGATTGTTCCATTAAACTCCACCCTACAAAGCTCTCTGTTAGAACATTTTACTTCCCCATAAGATTTGTTAGGAAGAATGGGCTTTATATGCACTACAACAGAAACAAAAAAAAGGGACTTACCTTGTACTCTAAATTCCATTCTTAAAGGTCCTTTATGTGGCTACACAATTCATACATCTTTAAATGTCCATCCTCCGGGTGCTCTGCTTAAGGGCTCCATAACTTCAAAACCTCTCCCCTACTTCAAAAGCATCAGTAACTTAGAGCTGTGGAAACAAACTCGAGAGTGCACCGTCTCTTTGGAAACAATGGGGATCTTAAAAAGAGTAAACTAAGGCCGTGTTTGAGGAGACAAAATAAGCACTCGTCAGCTGAATCAAATCTGATCATCACAGGAATGAATACTGCCCGGAATTTCAGGGGAAAAGACTCCTCACCACATGCTACTTTGCTTGTGTTCAGAGGAAACTACCGGTAGTTTATTTTTCAAGATATTTTACTCGGTTTCCAACAATATAGGTTGAGTGTTGTTGCACGTTCAGATGACTAAATTTTATCCCCAAATCCTTCTCGTCTGTTGCTTGCAAAAATCCATTAAATTCAGGCACAAGCAAGCCAGACTCATCTCTTTTGCTCTTGATGCCTATTACATATAAATAGTAATTATTGTTTCTGGCAAGACTCTAGTGTCTCTTATGATTTTGTATTTTAATGATCTGATGTCTTAGTACTCTCTGCTGAAAGAATATATTTAACAAGCATCCACATTTCCTCCATGAAAGGGTTTTTAAATTATGAATGTAATAAAGACAAGGATGTTGCCAGATGATTAATAGCTTAAAGAGACATTTCTTACTAAGCCGTCATTTTTCCCATTTGCCACAAATTCAATCCCTGTACATTTTTATAGCATTCAGCAAGAAATGTGCAGTTTAACCCTAAAGCTACACAACCACATTAACCAGCAGTGCTTTTTTCTTTCATATAAAAAAGAAAGGAGTAAAAGCAAGTCAAGTTCTACCTGTTCTATTGACAGACCTATATTGTTTAAGTTTCTACTTGTTATAAGATAGATGTCTCCTTTAGGTAGCTTTCTTCTATTTAATGCATATTAATTAGAGGCCTCATTTTGTAAATTGGTCACAGCTCAAACTACAGAAAGTTGTAACATTGCATCTCTATAGAATATGTTAAAAATGTCTGGAGTTTGGAGCTGAGCTAATCAAATTGAGACATTTCTCCACTGAGTGAGCTCCTGTCAACATTCCCTTAATAATAATTTTGTATTAAAAATTGTGAAGGTGAACACACACTACTCAAAAAGCCAATTGTTAGGGATAGTGCTCAACATTAGTATATACATATACTGCTAAAACACCCAAATATCCCAAAATCACAACACATTTATGAATCCAAGCCACTTTCCAAGGTTTGCTTTTAAGTTTCCATCTTAACCTGAGCCAACAACAATGGCCAAAATGACAAACACTCAAAACTCTATGGAAATAAAGGTGAGACAGAGATAAGACAAAATGCAAACTACCAAAAGCAAGGAAGTTTTTCCAGGTGTCCCTAATCACTAGAAGGGAAATACTCAAATATGCACAAAATCTCACCCGAAAAACGGGCCTGGGAAAAGTGGAGTGGCAGCATGTTGTCAGTATTAAGGTTCTTCCTTCGTTTAGCAAGGTACTTACAGACAGGAAGACCACACCTGGGCTAAGATACATTCTTAAGCACCTTGTGGAATCAATTTTTTTTAATGTAGATTTACATTAGTTACAGAGCCTGTCATCTTAGACTAGAGATTCTCCTCAAGCACACTGAAAACAGGGCATAAAAATTGATTGTCAATAGTGGTTTACATGCGCTACCATTCAGGGAGTGAGTTATACCACCAATCCCCAGGGAGGTGAAGCCCCCATGTCATGGTTGGAGTATAGGTTGACTATTGACTGGATAAATCTCTGCAGAACAAGTCGTGGTATTTGTTATGTATTAGACAAATCGGTTTAGAGTAATTTATGGAACTCTAAAATACCACATTAATGGAATTGCTGACAGCCTTAACTACAGCCACATAAATGTGCCTCTTATAATAAAGGCACTCTCCACAGATCTGAAGCACTAGATGAAATCGCAAACTGACTGCAGGTTATGAACTCTACCTCCTTTAAAGCATCAGAAGCATTCTTGAACAAGACTTAAAACTGCCTAAGTTCCACAATGTAAACACTCCAGTGTGTCATGTTCTGAATGCCCATGATGAATTGCAGACCTACACTAACAATTATGCAAGTAAAGTGTGCATTTAATACCCTGGTTCAACTTTCCCTTGCATTCCTTTTTCAGATTCTCCTCATTGGAATGTTAAGCTGCATATTTGAGTGTCTGCTCTTTACTATGCCCCATAATCAACTGAAATTAGTATCCTTCTCAATAAGGGACTGGCTGACAAGCTGGCAAATAGATGGATTTAGAGAAACGTGCATCTAATTCTCCACTTCGGAAATGTCACAAGGCTGCAGATTAAAGCAGCACGATCCCTTTTTTATTAAAGGGAGAGAGGTGCATAGATTAACACATTTCAATGCATCTGTTTTCCAGTTAAACATGAGGGTTATAAAAGCGCTTTGCTATGGCCGAGGCCCCTCCCCATTTACTGTCATCGAATTTGGGCTCTTAACAATGAGGCATCAAATCATGGGCCAGAAGGAAAGATCAACTGGAGCCCAATATCTAAACCATGAATGGGAAACTCTGAATTCAAAGATCATCTGTGCCAGTGGATCTCAAACCAACATCTGGAGGTCACTTGCAGCCCAATCAGCACAGACCTGCCACCCATGTGATATCCCGAGGGCAAGACAGGGAGTATATACATGGTGTGGCCCAAAATGGTAAACAATTGAGAACCACTTGATCTAGGCATAGTCTAGATAAGAGGTTCTCAAACTGGGGGTCGTAACCATCTTGCCCTTCTCATACTCTAAATGGGAGGGTGTTCGGAGTTGGTCCTATGGAGAATAGAGGATGGGATACATTGATAAGAAAAGGTTTCAAAACAGGTGTCGCAGGGCATCCAGTGGCCAAAGATTCCAGTGAATTAGGAAATCAAATACTCATGGACAAGGATGCTGCTATGAAAGTCCCCTATCATATCTGATTGAGAACTGACTTAACTTGGGGAATCTCACATTCGGAGAAGTGGCATAACATCATAATTCCATTTTTAAAAGTTGCCTCGTCTTTCATCGGTATCCTGAATTACAAAAGCTGACATCTAAAATCAAAACAATGTGTCACCATTTATTTTTTGCATTTCACTAGCGTTGGACAGTGATACTAGGCTAAGTTTCATTTTTGTTTAAAGTCTGTAGTTTTTGATCCCAGACACTATGACAGGTATGCGGGTGGTGTATACACAACAATGCAAGGGAATGCTTAAATAAATCCATATGCTTTCCTAAGCAAGCATGCACAAAGTTTAAATGTTGAAGGTGTAACTACTTAGACCTTGAACTAAGTACACTTTTCTTGGTGCTCATCCAATGCCCAAATCAACAAAGCATTTGAGCAAGGGCCTAACTTTAAGCATATACTTAAGAGGCTTGCTGAATTGAGACCCAAAGCTTGATGCTGCAAGCCCTTGTGTAGTTTATGGTTGGGAGCACAAGGCTGTTGCACTATGTATGAGCTCAAAATAAGATAAAGTGCTAGAGCATAATCCTCTGCACAGAGCAGCCCCTCTGGGCCTACTCTCTTACTTGAAAACATTACAGTGAAAAAAAGGGGGGGCAGCAGAGCCTGGTCAGGCAGTGGGCAAGGAGATGCCGCATAGAGTCATTTTGTTACATGCTCTCTCCTGTTCAGCCTCAAACCTGCTCCTAGGAGTTGGTGTAGTGATGTCTCTAATGCAGCATCTGATCTCCATGCATCCTTGTCTTGCACTTGTGACATTCCCCTACCACGCGAGGCAGGATCGAGCCTCTAGTATATCTTAGACTAGATGCTTTTGGGGCCAGGGACTAGGTCTTCTTGTTGTGTGGGTACAGCACCTTGCACAAGGGAACCATGGTCTAAGCCTAGAGTTGCTAGTGTTACCACACTACAATTCATAAACAAAAAGGAGATGAAAAGAGAGTTTAAGGTAGTCAAGTACCTTGAAGAGGTGCAGAAAGATTTGACTGAATTAAAGTTTTAGAATTGAGGATGAAGGGAAGTGGGATGGACAGACTAGCTAGAAGGGAACAGTTTCAGAAGACCCACACGGATGGAAGATGGCTAAAGAGAAACAAACAAACATACCACTTCATCTTAGGTAAATTTTATAAGTAGGCTAAGAGCTGAACAGTTGCTAGTTACCAAATCCTAGATTAAAACTAAATTTTGCATCTTCAGGGTCAGTTTCATAGTTCTCCCTCTAACATTCCAAGACACATGCTCAATCACCAAGGCTCCCAAAACCCATATGAACATACTGTCAATTTGACTAGCTGAATATCTCCATATGTTTTATTATACAGTCAAGTGCTGACGTCTCATTTGTGCAAAGGCTGCTTTTCAACCACCAGGAACGGGGGCGATAATGACAGCTAGATAAATGTTAACAGAAAACAATTTTTTATTGGTGACTTCAACTCTGTTCAAAGGGGGTCTCCACAAATAAGCAGATTTAGATAGGCAGTCTATAGGCAGCCCCTTCACCCACCCCAAAAAAGTGGGAATTCAGTACTACACAGCCACAATGAGAAAAATGGAATAATTTGAGTTCCCAAAAAATAGTTCTAGCTGCTCTTTTATGGCATTGAATTTTTTGATACATTCAAAGCATTATTGCGTCAGAGAACAGATCATGCATCTTTATGTTTTCAAACAAATTTTTAACCTGTATTCTGTCATTTCTAGCTACATTTCAAAGGTGCACCAAATCTACAATTTTATACTTTTTTTTTTTTAGTTGCATGCTTTGCCTATATGCATGCTTAGATAATAAATATTAAATACAGGAAAAAACATAAAAGAAGAAACCAAACTGACATGAGGAATATTTTGTGGCAGCTCTGTTAAGTCCTGCCAGGGAAAGAACAGAAAAAGTTGAGGTAACAGTGGCCACACCACTCAGCTGAGAGTTGTTTGCAATTCACGGAAGTTTTCAGAAATTCAAGTACACAAACACCAGCTGGAATCTTCAGAAATGCCAGATAAATAGCTTGACTTTTTTTTTTTTAATTGTTAGTCTATTAGCTGGCGCTCACACAGCTCCTTGTAAATCCTTTTTCTTACTCGTGGCATATCTTCCTGGGAGAACTGAAAAGGCTGGTCTAAGGCGAGGCACTTGCAGTACTGAGGAAAACGAAAAGGCTTAATTGAAACAGGAGAATTCACAAGAGAAAAATCAAAGAAAAAAGGCACAGACCGTTTTAAAATTACACTCTTACCTGGAGCACAAAAACCCCACAGTCACTGTCATTTTTCTGTTGTGGAATGCACTGAGGGAGGAAAAAGATACAAGAAGTGAAGTGTCTTATTGGCCCTCTTTCAGTTTTCACTCAAAGTTCTAATTAAAATCCAAAATGAGATTTTGCAAAATTAGTGAGTTTTTTATTGAAACCGGTCACTCTGCGGCACTTACAAATTGAGCTGCAATTACTTATTTCAGGCCCAGTCATAGGAAGCGAGAAACTCAGTATCTTGTTAGGATCATGCCTAGTACTGGATGGACCTCTGTGGTCCAGCACCCTTGGGACTGGCCAGTCCCAAACAAGGGAATTTGCTGGACCAGGGAAGGTCCCCTGTCACCGGCCCCCCAGGCATCCGCCAACTCTGCTTCTGTCCCCAGCTGGCTCCCACAGCCCTCAGCCAGCTGTGCTACCGGCTCTGGCTGGACTTCTCAGCCCCAGCACTCCCCTCTGCACAGCCTGATCTCCCCGCTGCACAGGGCTCCTAGCTGCACTGCAGGGCTCCCTGCGCTGCCTAAGCCCCTGCCATCCTCCTGACTGCACCATTGGAACTCCCCGCATTGCCTGAGCCCCTGCTGTGGGACTCCTTATGCTGCCAGAGGCCCCTGCCGCAGGGCTCCCCCCCCCACACCATGGGACTCCCCGCCATGCTCCGGGCTACACTGCCGGTGGCTCATACAGAGCTGCTCCCTGTAGTGATGTGCTACCAGTAGAACCCTAAGTTCTCCTTACATAGCACATCGCTATAGGGAGTGGCTCTGTACAAATGACCAGAGCCCCCTGCATCATGGGATTCCTGTGGGACTCCTGGGTGTGTCACTGGAACTCCCTGCACTGGCATACCCACTGCCACAGGGCTGCCAGTCACACCGCCTGAGCCCTCTGGTGCTATGCTCCCGGCATTGTCTGAGCCCCGTGCCCACTACTGGCCTCCCTGCCCCTGGACCACAGATGTTGCCGGACCAGAGAGACCCGGTTTAGGGAGGTACAACCCGTATTTAAGAGAGAAGATGTTTTATGACAGACAAATTACAGTGTTCCCTCCTGTAGCTAATTTTTAGTGACCAACTGAGGATCGCTTCCTCTCAATTACGCTAAATAAATATTTTAACATTAAGTCTGACCTGAGTAAAGAAGACAGTAAAAGTCATCAGCAAACTCACACAAGCAAGAGAAATGTTTCCCTAGGTATTTGGGCTATACAGGACAGATTCCCATCCTCCCCTCAGATCTTGAAAGAAGCAGTGGGCAATTTGTGGGCAGGCCGAGAGAACGCAAGGATGGTGAGTGGGCCTGCACACTGCAAGGCTGCTGGCCCGGAATGATGCCTGAAGAGACGCAATGAACCCACCCCAAAAGACAACTTTTAATTTCCTGGCTGGGCCAGATTCTCTCTCTTTTTAGTGCTTTCAACTCACTAGTTCTCAGACATTAAAATTTCCTTCACATCCGCAGCACTGCCGAAAGAAAAATGATACTTTCTTAGCACCAACATCCTCCATCTCACACAGGACTACGCAGAAATAAGGGAGGAGATGTGTACCTGAGATCTTCTCAGCATTGCATTGGCACCTAAAAATGTCTCCCATGAGTGTTGGGGGACTGTCTAATGTTGAATGACCTGCGTTATATCCTCAGCGCCACAATGGGACAGTTATGCAAGTCACAAAGTCCCTCACTCGCACTTCACACAAGTTGTTCCCTTTTATCGCTGCCAGAGTTTATTTGTTAGTGAATGCAGTGCTGGTGAAATGTGCCAGACTGACAGCCCTGAAGACCAAAGCACTTTGTCTCTCCACAGCATATGCACAAAGCCCTCTATCCACAGCAGTACTTGTTTTCCAGCTCCTGCTATCCCCAGCGGATGTGCTTCAACCTTTGTCTGGAGCAGTCACCTCTAAATATGAAAGAAGCCAGCCTCTACTTTTCTTTACCACTTTGCTAGCATGGGTGCTGATTGTAGTGGCTTTGCAATGGGAAGAACTTCACCACCAGGGTTCGGGCTGAGATCACCAACTCACTTAACAGGAGATAAAGGGCTGATGGGACCTGAACCAGCAACGAAGAGCCTACTAGCAAGTCTGAGTTATCCAGCCTTGACTTGTTCATTTAAAAATAAATACTTACTGCTTCTTTAATAACATGGATCTAAAAGCGAAGGCAGCACACTCAGGAAACGATGCCTGTGGAAGATTCGCACTTGGGTTTAGAGGGCTGGCACTTACCTTTGTAACAGCTGTCTGCCATCCCTGGAGAAACTCAGGGTGATTCTTCTCTCTTGCTTCAGTCAGTAAATACTTACGGATGTTCTTAAAAAGAAAATCATGGTCTTACCATCAGACACAAATTAAAGCCAAGGAGAAAAAGCACACAGGTAAGTTTAACCAAGGACAGTTTGGTCCTTGTGCTTAACTCAGCTCTACGGGTTAAAGAAAGAACTGGTTTCAGTGGGCGCTGCTGAATTTGGCCCCTCTGATCCATGCAAGGATACAGTGGAAACCCCACCACGCTTGAGGCAATTAAAAACAGACTGGGCAAAGTGCTAGAAAAACCAACTGTGGAGAACAGGGATATGCACTAGACTAAATGGCCTACCCTTGCCCAGTTCGAATATATCAGATTGGCTGCACACAATATTTGATAGTATTTCTCTTTGAATGTTACGGGATAACTTTTTGATCACTGCATCCCATTCAAAATAGGTCCAGGACCTACCCCTGCTGCAGCTCTGCATTTAAAGTGTATTAGGAGCCAGGCGGGCAGTCAGCCCGGCTCATTTTCGGCTTGTGCTGGGTCTAGGAGCACAGATCCCGCCCCCAGACAGGGGCTGCTGCCTCTTCATCAGACAGCCTTCATCCTCTCTGTGAGGAGAGCTGGGTTTTACACTGGCTCCCTTCGCGGACCAGCTCCACCTGTCACCCTGCAGCAACACGGGTTTGGCGGGGGCTCCCCGGAAGTGAGCCAGGACTGAGCCGGGCTGCTGGCAAGCCTGTTAAAAATGTACTGGTTGGTGGAGGGGAGGGAAATGCATGTAGTCTATAGCAGCCGTCCCCAACCTGTGGTCTGCGGACCCCTGGTGGTCCATGACGGTACTGCAGGGGGTCCCTGGAACGTTTGAAAAATAAAGATCGGGCCCATGGCAGCAGGCCCGATCCTTTCTTTTTCTCCCCTCTCTTTTTTCTTGCTTTCCTCTCTCAATCTCTCTCTCTCTCCCCCCCCCTTCTGCAGGGAGGGGGTAGTCCGTGAAATTTTAATAGATTGAAAAGGGGTCCCTATGCTCGAAAAGATTGGAAACCATTGGTCTAAAGCATTAACCTATAAGGTTTTGGTTACTGGTTAACTGATTACACTATTACATCCCTAATGTCTGTCAATTTTGGGAAAAATCAGAAAATCCAAAAAGGGCAATGGGGAACACAGGTAGCCCCTGGCATCTATGTAGCAGAGCCAGGGCTTCAACCGCCTCTGTAATTCTCTGCAAATCAAAGAATTTCTCGATGACAGAAATGTAGATCGTCTAGCACAGGGGTGGGAAGCCTTTTTTGGGTCGGGGGCCGCTGACCCACAGAAAAATGAGTTGGGGATCGCACACAAGTGAGAAGCAAAAAAACACACACAAACCCTCACTGACATGCCCGTGAAGACACTCCCCACATTCTCCTCATGAAGCAGAGCCTTGGGGGAACCAGTTTAGTAGATCTTGTTTGCTCTAGTCCCAATGGGGGGGGGGAGAGGGGGGGAGGCACAGCACCATCATGGGTTCCCTAATACTCGGGTTTGTGGAAGCCCTGAGCCTCAGGGGCCGGATCCAGGCAAGCCAGGGGCCACATCTGGCCCCTGGGCCTGAGGTTCCCCATCCTTGGCAGGGAATGGAAAACCATGGCATGGCAAAAGTTGCACAAAGTCCCTGAAATACAGGGGGATGGGAATGTGGCACACAGGGACCTTACAAACAATGAGAATACAGGGGTACAAGAAGCCCCTGGTGTCTGCAAGGAGCATGGCCTAGAGAAGCAACCAAGCATGCAACTCCCTAGTTCTATAAACATTGAAGTACAGGCAGTCCCCGAGTTACGCGGATCCAACTTATGTCGGATCCGCAGTTACGAACGGGGTTCCTCTCCCTGGTCTCCAGCAGACCAGGGAGAGGAAGCAAAGCGGCGGAACACGTGGGCAGCGGACAGGGCTGTCCGCTGCCCACGCGCTCCAAGGCTTGGCTCTGCTTTGCCCCCCCGTCCCCCTGGTCTGCAGACCAGGGGGACGGGGGACGGGGCAAAGCAGAGCCAAGCTGCGGAGCGCGTGGGCAGCAGGACAGCCCTGTCCGCTGCCCCCATGTTCCGCCGCTTTGCTTCCTCTCCCTGGTCTGCTGGAGACCAGGGAGAGGAAGGGACCCGTTCGTA